GGCCCAAGTTCGCTCACAGAACTGGAGCCGAATAATGGAAGGCAAGACGGAGGAAACGCGGCGGACGGAAGGGGAATGATGTGAGGGTGTAGTGGGTGGGGGGTAATTTTCGCCGTCGCTCTCATCGCCGCGTCGCCATGTAATTGAAAATCAATTACGAGCGTCACCCTGGCGTCGTCGCCCCTGACGGGGGATGGCAATGGCAGGCGGCCCCGGCCTGGCCTGCCCTAACTGGCTGGGGTGCCGGGCGCGGCCGGCGGCGGCGGTCGGGGTGCCTATGAGGGGTGAGAGGGTTGGGAGCGACGTCCGGGAGAGGCAGACAGGACATGCCATCGCGCACAGAGAACAAGACAAGACGTTGGGTCGCGCACGACGGCAAAGCGGTCGGTTTTTGTGATGAGCATGGGGTCCTTCGAGGATATTTGAGCAAAAGGGGGGGAAAATGAGTGGTGGTCTGGTCGGCTGGCGCCGTGCGGAGGGGGTGCAGCGAGGGTGGAAGTTGGGGTGGGGTAGGGGTTGTTCGGCCCCTCTCGTGATGTGGGGTGGCCAGGGGCTGGGATTGCGTGTGCAATGGGGGTTGCCTGGCTCAGCCCCGGCTCGCCGGCGCCAGGTCGACGACGCCATCGCCCGCCCTCGCCCCGACTCACCCCATACCGAACCGCAGTCACGCTGGCTTTTATATGGAAGCCTCGACTACTCATCGCATCGCACTGACTCAGACAACCCGCCGTGACATCGAGGGGACCTGTCCGGTCCAGTCGCCGTCATCGAAGCACGCTAGAACTTCCACGACTATGACTGTAATGTAATGGTACCCCGAAGCACGGAGTAACGACAATGGCTGTTCTATATGTCCGCCGCCAGAGCGCACCACCGGCCGGTCCTGCTCGCTGTCCAGGCTCCCGCCCCTTCCCCCTTCCCCCCGTCCCCAACCCTAACCCAAAAACCAAGTAAACGGCCCGTATGGCGCCTCTGAAAGCCGGTAGTTTTATTTTAAATGTTCCATCGGGCTGTCTAATGTATATTGTCTGGAAAAGTTTACGAAAAAGTAAATTATATTTCTCTGACGCTTGATGCTGTTCTTCCAGTAGTGCTTCAAAATTTGTTGTGAATCAAATTGTTTTGATCTTGGGGTTTTGCTTTTCGTTTTATGCAAATGACTAGCAGACGATTTTTTTCTGCAACGCTCAGTGTGTTATTGGTACTTGGTACCCCACTGATTCTTATGACAACCATTCTTTTTTTCCAGGTTGTCTAGCGTAAACCCTGAAAGGGTTCAAAGTCCGAGATGACGGGTTATGACACGTACCTCCAGCTGAGTGACACCGCGACAGTGAAGCTCTAGAAGTGTTTGCACAGTGCTCCATAGCCTCTCAACTACGATCGCTCCTTCAGAATTATTGAATCTTTTAACCATGACCTTAGCTGAAAAATATGTGGGACTCAGCAAATCCCTAAGAATATCATTCAAAAATTGCGGCTATATTTTGAGGTAGATATTTTAGGCATGAAGTACACCTTTTTAATTCAATTTAAGACATACTTTAATCCCTATAAATCTTTTGCTGACATGTTTCTCTTCTTTTATTGCTCTACGTCATGTTGATTTCCATCTTTTTTGCAGACCTGGAGCTGGTACCGGGTTATGGCTTATACCATTGATTCCAATGGCACTCCTCGTCAGCACAGTAAAGCAGATATTAAGGAATGAGGCAACATTATCACATGTGTATTTTGCCTCAACAGCTGTTAGCTGTGGTCTTCTTGTCACAACATTAATTTACCTCATGAGATTCATGCCCAGTTATGGCCATCGCATTGGAAATTTTCTCTTTGCAATACCAGCTATTGGAACACTCTTATTTTTGCTCTACACTCAAAGTGGTAAGAATTGTTTGTACTTGTTCTCATCGAGTTACCTATTTCCTGAACAGTCGTATTTCTTTTATGGATGTTCTTGTCATTGACACAGTATTTTGTGATCTGCCATTTGAGATTTCTTTATATTGGGTATAGGAGACTTACAAATGTATTGGGTTTTAATTTTTCCAGTCTATGGTAACAGTTATCATGATCTGAAAAGAGAAAATGCATGGTTTAGGAAAAGTTGTGGTATGACAAAATCTGCTCATATCTTCTCAGGTGAGGGTTTTAAACTCTTTGTTTCTTTAGTGTGCTGTTTGGTTTTGTTTTGCATCCAAATAACAGATTTCTTTTTAAAGTTAATACATCATTATTGATTGGTTGTTTAGTTTTCTATGTTGTTTTGCACTAGTTAAATCTTTTTAGCCATCTCATGTTTATCTGGGAATCTTTATTTTACTGCCTATTTTGAACCTTAGGTCTGCAGTTCAGCTTTGCACCAAAATCTACCTTAAACAGCTACTGCTCACTCCAATGAAGTTCCTTTTTTTTTTAACCCATTTTCCTTTACTTTTCAGGTTTTGTTTTAAGTCTTCTTGGTGGAATAATGAGCACGTATGGAATTCTTGCGGGATTACCCACCCTTCTGACTTTGGCTCCAGCTTGCTTTTCTATTGGAGAAGCAGTTGTTGTTATTCATTCTCTTATAATATTTCTGTATAGCTCAGCTATCAACGTATGTCATATTGCATTTTCTCATGTTTCACTAATTGCTGATATGGATGTATCATATGAGGCTGCTACTGTGATTCTTCAGGTATGTCAATTTACTTTTTTCATTATAATAAGTTCTTTGGAATTGTTCTATCTAATTTAGAAAGTTTAATGCCATTGTGTCTATCTTTTTGTTCTTTCAGGTTGGCATGGTATTTGTGCTGCTTATGCTAGCAGCATTGGTTTCCCTTCCTATATTGAGAGAACCCCCGCAGTTTTTTATTGTTTTAAGTACAGCTATTCTTGGCACTGTGGTTTCTTTACACGGATTGTTGGGTGGAAGCCCTATATTATGGATTCTTGTCAATATTACTCGAGACCAAGGCACTGTAAGTTTAATATCTTTCTAGTTATCTACTCGTATTTTATCACTTTCACTGCACTAAACCTGTTTTTTCTTTTATTTAGTTTAACATAATATTAGCTTGGGTTTTATTGACCATCCTCGCTGTCGTTACTATTTACCTTCAAGTATCACATGAAAAAAAGGCCACAACTGCTCAGCGCAAGGTGTTTCATATTTTGGCTGTTGTTGTATTTGGATCTGGTATCTTGTGGACACCTGATATTCTATATCTAGCAAGTGGAGTAATTTTTGCATTATTTCTTGTGGTTGAGGTGAGTAGATCAAATCTCATAATTTGTAATTTGTGCTCTTTTCTATCTACATCACCTACATCTACACATTCTTTTAAAAATTTAGGCATCAAGAATTTTAAATATTCCTCCACTTCATGAAATTTTAAAAAATGGTTTTATTTTATATGGTGATGAGAAAGATACACTCATTGCTCTAACACCCCTCTACCTACTGACTGGTATGGCAGCGCCTCTTTGGCTAACACCTTTGGATGATATACCTATTGCTCCATCGCAATTATTGCCATATATGGCAGGGCTACTTTCAATTGGTGTAGGAGACACAGCTGCGAGTTTTGTAGGTTCTAACTATGGAAAATGGAAATGGGAAGGTACAGAGATGAAAATACTTCAATGAAGTTTTATTTTGTTGTTTTACCTGTTAATTGCATGTTGAAAGTCTTCTGTACTTATTTCAGGTTCCAATAGAACTATAGAGGGGACGCTGGCATGCTTTTTGTCTCAAGTTTTTGTTGTCCTGCTTCTTGTACAGTATGGTAAGAAATTTCTCACATTCTTTGTGGGGTTTTACTTGTGTTCATTTTCTAGCTGTAACATATTTTCCTGTTTACAGATGTACTACCTAGTGACATATTGTCTCTTGTTAGAACTTTTGCTGCCGTTGGTATTACAAGTCTCATTGAAGCCAAAACTGATCAAGTAGACAATATGGTTCTTCCTTTGGTTCTCTACATCCTAACTTATTAAGTGAATTTCCTACGGCAAACTGTAAAAATATTGTAGTCAAGAGAACAGTTATTTATGTCTCTGATTAAACGTAAATCATTGATTACTGTACCAAACGATTCCATACATCAGATATCTAGTCAACATCATGTGTACTCTGTATCACCTTTAGGTGAATTCCACTATTTTAGAATCACTGGGAGAAAAACAGCTTTTTGTTTTTGATGTGGAATAATTCTTTTACTGCTATTATTGAAGCAGAATATTTGCTATCTATTTTTATTTTGTGTGTGTGGTAATCTGTGATATTTATATTTCTTCCTGACACATTGCATTCTCAGTTTTTTGCCCCTTTCAGAGTAAAATTTGTTACTGTTGAGAATGTTTGCTCCCATTGAGCTAAGCAAACGCACTAAGCCCTGCAAACAGTGTGCTAGCGTGAAAGGCACAGCGGTTTTCGTCCTTTGCCTATTTTCCTTTAACTTCGTCCCTCTTCTCTAGATCTTTTTTTGGCAACTGTATCTTTACTCAATTGAGTTGTAACCCAGCTGTGATCAGCTTATATTCCAATGTATTTGGAAAATTTGAGAAATATTATTTATGTTAACATTCCAATTTTTGGTTTGTTTATGTGTACAGATTGTTTAATGCTTTGTCTTTTTAAAATGGTTAATATCAATTTTCATTGAGAATATTTTTGATTGAAGGTACTGTTTGGACTGTGAATTAGATATGATTGTCATGAAGCAATATAACTTGTTAGTCAAAAATGTGCAGTTGTTGAAATATTTGTTCATCTATCAATACTTTGCTTAAGGATTGGTCTCAGTACCTACCTGTGAATAAATCCAAATGTGTTTACTAGTCCATTTT